GGGGTTTAAAACCGCCACTACCTTTCACAGTGTTGAGAAAGCCGGTAATATAACCTCAGTCCTGATTTTTCTACAAAGAACAAACAGCGAGAGCCTCTCTTCCATCCCACATCCATTTTCAATTTTTCAGCATGCCCTCAGTGCATCTCAAACTGCAATTCTCACCTTCTGAGGGAAGGATGGCAGCACACTCCGTGCCACCACACCCCTGCTGCCCTGTCTTCTACTAATCCCCCCACAGTTGCAACTTTCCCAGCCATTTTGCGTCCCTGTCAAAAAAAACACCGCAGGTCGGCAGACATCATCAATGCAAAGAACTTATAATTAGTCAAGAAGTCTCCGCCACCACACATAAATGCCTCTCCAAAGTAATGAACATTGAATACCTAATCACAGAGGGGCATGCAATCAACGGGCATGAGAACCCCTCTGGAGAAAAAGTGACTCACAGCCAGCTGTGAATAAGGCTCACGATCAAGAGGGCACGCGATCCAAGCTCAGGCTCTGTAGCATGCTGGGGCCTGCTAAGACGGCCCCCAAAGGCCCAACTCTTGGCACTTCGGCCCCCAGGCCATGTGCCCCTTTATTTTGGGCAGCCTTGAGGGCCACGGCCTCTTTTTTTGCAGGCCTTGGTTTATTTTTGTCCCATTTGTTCTCTATTTTAGTATTTTCTTTCAGCATTTATTTATTTATTTATCACATACTCCGGTTTGCTTGGGACTGATTTTTTCTGGTCTGATTTGTCTGTTCCAGGTAGTGAGTGACCTTTCAGACTTTCCTTTTGTCTTAACAGGCACAGCTGCCTGTGCAGACCAATGATTTTATTTTTGGATGCTGTAGGCCAGGTACATGTTTGTCCGCAGCTGGAGTGGGCCAGACACTCGTCTGGAGTACCTGGCCCAACCCTCATGTATTCTGGACCAGCCCTGCTGCATCAGCAGGGCCGCCTAGATTTCCGACAGGGACCCAGGCAGGCTGAGTTAGACCAGGGATGCAGGACCAGGACTTGGGCCTGCGATCAGGACCATCAACTGGACTTTTGATCAGATGGTCCTGATTGCAGACCGAAGGGCAGCCCAGCCAGGCCCAGCGTTATATAGCTGGGCCAGTTCTCCAGTTGGGGACAGAGTGCTAGAGCACCAGTTGGGCATCACACTGCTGGGGAGTACAGCGCCATTCTGGGAGAGCTGCCGTAGAGTAGCAGTGTAGAGGAGTCGGAGGTAGCCTGAGAGGAGAGGCTGGATGTGTCCATAGCCACGAGGGTGCGAGAGACTTACCTGGGCACCATAGCTGAGACTTCATGCCGGTCTGGGACCGGCCTTCTTCAGCGACCTGCATCAGCTCGTGTCATCATCCTTAGCTGGTCAGTACTCGTGGGCATCATCATTATCATCATCAGGAGAGTGAGAGAGGAGAGTTCTTCTTCTTCTTCTTCCTGATTCTGCTTCTGACCCTCCATAGCCACTACCTTCT